ATACAAATTCCTTCGCTAGTACAGTTACTAAAAATGCCATAATTAAATTATCTAAGTCTTAAGCCCAGTAAAATATATTGAGAAAGTGTGGTAGAGGTATAAGTACAGCATTTTGAGAGTACCAAAGGGACTAGCAGCACTTTCTCTGCAGATCTTGAGCTGGAATATTTGGAGTAGGTATTGCAACTGATGTAGAAAAGCATATTGAGTTTGCCTTACTCTTGATTCATAGGCTGTGACGCTTAATAAATTTTGATATTGCACACAGTGAAGCTGTTGCTTTCAGACAAAGCAAGGGAAGTAAGCAGGCAAGAAAGAAAGGGCCTAAAGAATGAACAAACAAGTTCTTTCATAAGATATTTCTCAATGGAGATGATTTCCTATTATGCTTAAGTTATATACCGTATCTGGCAGCACTCTTGTTGGTGGGGTGTGAAGCATGGAGCCAGCTCTGTCTGGTGTTAAAAGCATAAAGGCACTTTGAAAATGTAATTTCTGGAGTATATTTCTGAAAAAAACGATGGGCAGTTCTGGTGCTCTCAGCATAAGAAGGCATGGAACTGTTGGAGCAAGTCCAGAGGAGGCCACAAAGTTGCTAAGAGGACTGGAGCATCTCCCCTGTGAGGACAGGCTGAGGGAGTTGGGGCTGTTCAGCCTGGAGAAGAGAAGGTTATGTGGAGACCTCAGAGCACCTTCCAGGATCTGAAGAGGCTCCAGGGAAGCTGCACAGGGACTCTTGGTTAGGAGCTGCAGTGACAGGACAAGGGGCAATGGGTTCAAATTGAAAGAAGGAAAATTTAAGTTGGATATTAGGCAGAGATTTTTCCCTGTGAGAGTGGTGAGACACTGTCCCAGGTTGCCCAGGGAGGCTGTGGCTGCCCCAACCCTGTCAGTGTTCAAAGCCAGGTTGGATGAAGCCTTGAGCAACCTGATCTAGTGAGGAGGTGTCCCCTGCCCAGGGCAGGGGATTGGGACTAGAAGATCTGTGATGTTCATTCCAACCCATAAAATTCTATGATTCTGTGAAAATACATTTCATGAAAGATGTTACATTTTTGGTGTTTTAGAACACCTGGAAGAGAGGCTTGGTTTACAGTCTGATACCATAATGTACAGCTAGGGTCTATTTTGCTCAGAGAGATGAAAACAGTGGAATGTATAATAAATACCTAAAATACGATCATGGCTTGTAATGTTTTTGTGAAATACTGAAAACAACCCCAACTGGGCTTCTTTATTCTTTGTGTTGTTTTTGGTTGTTTTTTTTTCCCACATGAGTAGACTTGAGCCCAAGTCATGCTGACATGGTCTGAGCAGACTGATGCAAGTGGAAGACACTTGGCTGGCAGGAATCCCTTTCTCAGAAGGTGGAATGAAGGCTCCACTGATTCTGCTTGGGATGCCACCTCTTACAACGACAGTCTGCTGACAGCAATCACTCGCTGTTTGGCCTTTTGGATCAGGTCACCAGCAAGACTGTGTGCTCCTGGTGGCCTTTGAAACATGGAGCCTCTCCGCTTGGGGACTGTGCAGGCCACCAGGCAGACAGTACAGGGTAGAAAATATTTACTGAGATGCCTTTGAACCTTTCACTTTCCTGAGGCTCTTTTTGAGGGGAAAAATAGCAATTGGACATGGGGAAAGGTTTCAGAAATCAAGCTTTAGTAACCAGATGGTTTGCTGAACAAGGCACTTCTGTGGTGTGTTGCAGAGTTTGGGAGAGAGAGGCAGGCAGCGATTTCTGACATGCTACTGTCCTTGTTTCCTTTAGAAGTAACGTCGGCTTTCTGTTTCCATTTCTTTGTCTCCTAAAAGCAGATGAGCAGTGATGTTTCACCACTTACCTCCCAAGGCTTAATAAATGAGTATGTCCATGTGCTATGCAAAGAGACTGTGATACTATTTCATGGGTAGGTGTGAGTAAGCCTTACTTACTCATGGAGTGCTTGTACTGGTAAGGTACTGTGCCCTGGCTAAGGGGTGTTGCCTCCTTCACAGTGTTCCTGCTGTTTGCCAGGATTGCAGGGGATGATCTGTCCCTGGGCAGGTGGATGCTTAGAGCTGCCCTTGCTCCATTGACACCACTGGAGTTAAGTATTTCACACTTGCCAATTGTATTTCCTTGTGTCCAAGTGCTGGTCACTGTGATCTGAAGGAGCTGTGGGGAGGGAAGAGAAAGTCTTGAATGTTAAAACCTGAGAGATGTGTTCTGCATGCATTCTTTCCTTATATTGGGGTGAGACCTTGCAGCCTGGATGTCACTGACAAAACCCCGAGTACTTTGCTTGGGCTGTTGAATTCTACCCCTGCAACTGGGAAGTGATGCTTTCAGGAAAGCGGAAGTACCAACTTCAAAATTCTCTCCTAGGTGCCTTAACCGCTTTTCGGTGTGGGTTGTGAGACTGTAAATTCTCTGGTCCTGC